TTTTATGGTTAATACGTATTTATGGTTTGTTTCATTTAAAGTTTACAGGCTTCACATAATACTATAGCGACGTAGCATGTATACGATGCACTTCGTGGTGTCAAAACATACTTATTAATGTTCCGATAATACTTTTAACGAGAGAATCGAAAATTGTGTATTTTTTTTTTTTTTTTTGTAATATTTCTGTAATTTTTAAATGCTATATTTTGGTGTTATATCTTTTAAGTATGAGTGTAAAAAATGTCTACACCTGTACAAAAAAAAATTTTGTTTGGAATAATTTCGTCAAAAAAATACCGATTCGTTGAGATGTTACATATTTACCCTAAATTGAAATTCTGAGACTGTCCAGTTTCTAAGAAATGACTAATTGTACATACATCACATGTCAGCTGAATATTATTTCTCAACGACGTGATTCGATCTTTCACTAATTAGACAATCTTTTACGATGGACAAACGAAAAAAAAATTTCCAAACAAAGTACTAAAACCACTTTATGTACAAAATAGTCATTGTTCGGTTATTTGTATTACAACTGTCCAAACTGCATTTTCAGTAGAACTACTAAAATATGAATGAAAACCACTTTTTTAATTATTAAATTATAATTGCTTTGATAAAGACAGGGTAAAAAAAATGTTTCTAATGTAGGAGTAAAAAAATATTTTCTTTTAAAATGAAAAACCACAGTACATTAACATGGGAACATTAAACCAGTGGAAGGGATTCAAGTAAGCCTATCGTAGCTCGATACTGTCTGGATAGAGGTCACGTGGTCTCGTCGCATTTCCCGATATAAAAAGAGGTGAAGTACTTTCTGAGACAGTTCAACGATCGTCGATTGTCAACCGCACAGTAAGTACTCAATACACACGTATTAAATTAATTTCTGCATTATTTGTAATATTTACTTGGTGAAACACCTCGTAGCATTATTTTTTTCGAGTTACCCACTATTTTTCTCTTCAATTTATTTTTCAAATACATTTTACGCGTAGCAATTTCTTCAACCAAAGCAATGATTCCACTAATTATACCGTATTTAAGAAAAAAAAAAGAAAAAGTGAAATTGATTGAAAATTTATTTGAAGGATAAAAATGTCGACTTTAGAAGTAATCCTTACGGTCCTGGGTCTGCTGTGTGTCACAACACGGGCAGTCAACGTGCATCATGAATTCGTCAAAAACTACTCCGAGCCTTCCACCTCGCTCGATCAGTTCAAGTTTGTTCCAAGTACCAACCAACACCTCATGTACGTGTACTGTCACAAAGAACACAAGCCTCCTACATTCGATTGCCAGTTTAGATTGAAAATGGTTAATGGTACTGAAAAGAAATGCAAACTAACGTACCGCACAAACGAAGAGTTTCAGAAACATACAATTTTAAAAAATCTCAAAAGCATGCTCGGAGGGAAAAAGCCCGTGCTGGACTGGACCAAGGTCCAGTTGTATAACACTTTGAAATTGATAACTATCATCGACATGGACGACTGCAAATCTTCCCACTTGTCTTTTCTTATGGACAAAGATGACCGAAAAATGTTTCATCTCCAAGTTTACAAGGACGGCTTCGACGTTCACGTAAGAAGCAAAAAAAATTGTAGCGAGAAGTACAACCCGTGCCTCATCCGATACAACATCCACGGTACGCATACAATTATAAATATCTAGCATACCTCACCTATTATCGTATCCCCAATAACCGATTGTTTTCAGGCGAGAAACTAGCCGGACCCTTTCCCGTACCTTCGATCCATTACACGGGAGAATCGATAATACTCGAGCATCTCTCTAATTACACTTTGGGTAATTTTAGTTTGGACGCAAATAGAGAGGGTTACGCTTTGCCTCCGTACGTAAACCAGGAAAGTTACAGTGGAATCGCGACTGTCACAGCCGAAAACCCCGTCGATCCGGGAAATATACAAACTTTCGGTGTGATGGTCTCGAACGAGTACGGGTACTACACGTTGTGCCATCCATACTTTATCTATGCTAAAAACGGTAGCGTTATCTGTACACAATTCGAAGTGAATTGCATGAAAATGAACGAAACAATTGAGTTGGAAGACAACGTCATGATACTGAAGGTGTTCAATCAGCGTGAGGGTGGTATTATCCTTCTACTCGTAACCTGCATAAATAACTCTACCAACTCTACCGATAGCTGCAGCAAGGTGGGGATCAAAGTTAAGGAGGTGAGCGTCAATGGAACGGTTACCGAAGACGCCGAGTTGAACATGGACAATTTGGATGATATCAAAGACATCGAGAAGCTCGGCATCGAGCACTTGGAAACGGAAGCTCAGCACTGCTTTTACTTTGCCTACGCGAAAAAGTTGGAAGGCACCGAAAATACCACGGTCAAGTACGTAGCTAAATGCATAAACCGACGCGTCGACATCNTGTGCGAATCGTACCCCAATGGACAAAACAGCTGATCTATATATATATCACAGCAAAAACATGAAACATATGTTGTGAATTGTGAAGCCGCTGCGATTTCTCGCCATTTGCTGTAAGCAGAGATTCGATATACCTTATGCCATACTGGATGAGACGTACGATTGAATTTTTCCTTGTAGCGATTGAATTTTTTTCTCGATGGCCCATCACCGCCGACTATTCGCTGTATTCCTGTACATGTTTACTAGAATTGTATTCAAATGTTCGGCCATTATGTATGACAAGCTCAGATTAAGGGTTAACTTTGGAACGTAGAAGAAAGTGTTTAGATATTATTTAGGATAATTTATTAACATTATACTAATATTTCTCACACAGTACACTTTCTGTGCAGTTGACTTAAAAAAAGTGAGAGTAATTTTTTAATAGATACAGTGTAACTTTTTCACCGATTAGACAATGGTTTGTCAGCCCTAATGACGCTTACAATTTTTTTTTTTTTTTTTTTTTTTTAGTCGCAAGCACAAGCTTGAAACTTAAAATACATAAGTACCCACCTATCGAAGAATACAAAACGCTCTCAAGTTGTAATTACACCGCAAGCTCGTGTCTTCCTTTCGCTCGTTGGTCCGCCCGCAAGGTGAAATCTTGCGTTGCAGAGCCACAAACGCGCGCGTGTATATTTTGACCGCAAAATGCTGCCATTGCAAATTCGATATTCCACGGGCGCTAATTAGTAGAGTTGGGACGCAGAGAAACGCAACTCGAACTTCAAAGGGTCAAAATTGTACAGAGGTTTGAATATACACATGGTAGGGAAATTGTCCTGGTGTTTAGCCGTCTCTCGAGCCATTAAATCCCACATTGTTGCTTTGGCTAATAGCTTTGCGTCCAAGTACTATTGAGTATAATATCTTTTGAATATGCGCACGAGCTTGTGGAGATGGCTTCTCCGGACTACAGTTTCGTTGTTGCGGCTTAAGTACCCAATAGTCGTAGAGCTGATCTGCATGGAAAATGCTGGTTATTTGTACACGGAAAAGAGCATGTCTTTCTAAAAACTGGGCCAATTAGATAGCTCACTGTTAAATGCGTACAACGTATGACAATAAGTTGTTACGATGTTTTTCGTATGTTTGATTTTGGAAAGTATGAAATTTATACTGATTCATTACCGTTTCATTGTTTAAAAGCGTTTAAAAGTTACATGTAATTATAAGAAACGTAATTATCAGTGCTTTGTTGAAACACCTAATGTATTGGAGTTGTCTTCACAGAGCTTTCAACTTGTATCGGGTACATATTTATCTGCATTGATATACATGTACAATATGATATGCATGTATAACAGCTACGTGATGAGAATACGCTGTTTCTGAAGTCTCTACGATTACATGCACTCCTGATACGTCAAAACATATTTCTACACTACCATCGCAATAAAATATTCATAATCAACACGAAGTAGTGTATGAGGAACTAGAAAACGTATGCCAATACGTATTTTAGATAGTGTTGTGTATATTATGTAACTAATGTTTCAGCAGGGAACAATTATTATTATCTTATATTATTACTCTCGATCAAAATTGTTGTAAAATATATAATAAATAAGTACTTAATTCATTGTAGGAAAAAAAAAAAATTGTTTCTCAATGAATGCGGAAAGGATGGAATTAAAGCTAAATTAAAATTC